GTGGGTTGGTAATGTGGGTGGTTAACAGTACAGACGTTGGGGGAACCACCTCACAGCCCAGACACTGTTTCCTCATCTGTAAAGTGGGGGTAAAAATGATATCCGTTTCACAGGATGGTTGTGAGGGTTATAAGAATCGATGCCTTTAAAGTGCTTAGCTCTCTGTGAGTTTTCCTTTACCCTGCTAATGAGAGAGCCTGGCACAGGCACCACTGGCTCCCGGTGGGACTGTGGACCAGACAATGACCTCCTCTGGCCCTTGACTGCCCTATCTGTAACACAGCGGGAGAGAGAGGGAACTAGGATTTATTCAACAAGTAATTACAGAGCCCACACTATGTGGTCATCCTAGGGCAGAGCACCAGACACAGACTTAAAGGTGGCGCGCTGGCCTGCTCTGGAGGGCCCCCCGTGTGGGAGGAACCGAGACCAGCACCGATGCTAAGCACTGTGGGAGTGCCTGGTCCAGGCCAGGCTGCGTGATACACACTTCGCATACATGAGCTTAATCAATATTCGTAATCATGCTGAGGACAATGCCACTGTCCCCATTTTATAGGCGAGGGCACTCTGGTGCAACAGCACCCCATGACTGGCTCAAGGTCACACGGGCAGTGAATATCAGAGATGGAATTTGAACCTGGAGATCAACTCTGTGCTCTAAGGCCCTTCTGGCACCAACGTGACATGATTCTCCGTGACCAGAAGCAGACGCCAAGATTACACCGAGGCCAGGATAAATGCTGCATCTCCCCTCTTCTCCTGATGCTTTTGTGATTTCTCTTTTTCCTGCCGCTCTCTTATCTCCCTGCATGTTCATCAATATTGTCTGCATTATCTACCAGTCACAGAGGCGAACATTTCCATTTTCTCTGCTGATACCATCCCCACTGACACTGCAGGGAAGAGACAGGCTGTGGTCCGGAGCAGAAGTGATAACTCCAGTTGCTAACCTCCTTTCTCTAGGGATCAGAGCTGGAAATGTTCCCCCTGACACCCCCCATCAGATAGCCTAGAGCCTCCTCCTCCTTTATTAAATCCCTGCTCTGGCCCTTGCTTGCCCTATCAGGTTTAGCTCAGTGAATAGAGCGTTGGCCTGGGGACCAACGGGTCCCGGGTTCTATTCCGGTCAAGGTCACATACCTTGGTGGCAGGTTCCTCCCCAGCTCAGGCCCTGGTGGGGCTCGTGCAGGAGGCAACCAGTCGATGTGTTTCCCTCTCTCTTCTGCTCTCCCTAAAAGTCACTGGAGAAATATCCCCGGGTGAGGATGAACAACAACAACAACAAAAAAATCCCTGCTCATTTCTCCCCGCCACAAAATGCCCACTCACCAACCAGGAATCATTAGTGGGTGGCTATTTTTTAACCTCAGACATTCCCAGCCCAACTTTCAAGAGAATGTGGTTTTTATACCATTCCCTCTGGGCCTTTTTAGCATCACTGAACCAAACAGTTGGGAGGCTGCACAGCATAGTGGCTGAGTAAGAACTCTGGAGCCAGACTGCCAGGGTTCAACTCCCAACTCTTTGATTAACTACTCCTGTAACCGTGGCGATAGTTATGCCCCCATGTCTCAGTTTCCTGGCTGTCTGTCCAGGATGATGATTGATGATGATGATGGTGATGATGGAGGAGGTGGTGGTGTCTCTCTTTATACACTAGTTGGGAGGATGGAGTGAATTAAAATACAAGTGTTTAAAAACAGTGTCTGGCACTCAATAAACATTACCGATACTTTTTTATATGTCCCACAGGAAATACATCTCAAATTAAATTAATCTCTATTGCCTTCTAAGGATATATTCCAGTAGATAAGAGAGAGGGGAGAAGCTCCAAATGACTATGGAATAGAAAAAGCTTTTTTAAAGATTGCCATAAAAAAGAAACGAATGAACAACTTTATAGCACCCTGTGTGTGTGTGGGGGGGGGGGGGGGTAGTCACAGCGCGCTTTCATTTACCGCACAGGACGTGGCGTCTGCAGCTGCCCCGGGGAGACAGGAGGCTTAGAAAGTCCATTTTACAGATGAGAAAGGAAGCCCTTTGCCGAGGGTCATTCAACTAGATAAGGGACGTCCTGAGGGTGGAATGGTAGTTTCCTGCCTGCTATCCAATGGGCAATTCCATATGCTGTTTCTTCATTAAAACAAACACATAGTAAACAAACAATAACGGAACGTCCAGGTCAACACAGAACACTTCTAAGTTGAGTCTGATTTACTCTTCCTCCCTCTGTCTTTTCAACGGTTCCAGGGCGTTCAGGTTTTTCCAGGAACATTCACAGGAGGAAGGCATTGACTTGCCAGAGTTGGGGGACAATAATGAACTATTCAAGGTGGCAAAGGGAAGCCTGAAGCATAACACTTTCGGGAGAATAACACTTTCCTTCTGAAGAGGGCAGTATGCCGCCAAGGCCAGGTCTGCCCTTGTACTCAGGGCCAGATGGAGGCAGTGCAGCTCTCAGAAGCCCAGGCCTCTTGGATCTCCAAGAGCTTATTTCTGAACGACAAGCACATCTTCTGACATGAAATAGGATTCTTGAGGTTTGAGCACAGTGACACGCTGCCTCGCATCGAGGGGACACACTGCAAACTGATCCGAAGGTGGTTATACAAGATGGATGGAAGAAACCCCGAGTTCTTTTTCCATGCTCCTGTACTCAGCTACCCCCCCAAATTGGCCTCTATGAAACCAGACAATAGCACGGCACCCCAGGTGGTCTCTGATGTTTGCAGAGGAAAGTCTTTCTTTTTCTGCAAAGACCTGTGTGCACGGTAGTTCCTGCTGCCTAAAGCAAAATACCTTCTTGCAAACCTCTTTGGCACAGAGATAAAATGTTGGGAATGGGGATCTTAGCTTCCTGGGATGCATTTATCAAGCCAATCACAGTAATTATAATTAGAACACAAACTAAGTGAAAGCTTAGCATGAAATACACTCGCAGTAAACCTGAACTGCATACAATTAAGCCCCGCTGAGTGGCATTTTGAGGTAGGCCATTAATATATTTTGGGGGTGGGGAGCTTGTTTTTTTCTTAAATATCTTTTGCTGGTTGCATCAAAGGCTTCAACAACAGGTTAGAAGGAGGAAGAAGGATATACATTATTAACTGCTAAACTTAGAGCTGTAAGACAGGTATACAAAGGTAGTTTAATTGGCTATTTAAGAGAACTTGTCAAGTATGTTCACTGGGCATTAATTTAATCTGGGTCTGTTTTAGGGCAGTGAAGAAAAGAATTGAGGATTTGGGGGGAACAGTATACCTTCAATTCCTAGCCTCAGTTTTGGGAAAGCACTAAGCTAACAGTGTTGAAAATTCTTCCATGGTTTCCCATTGTATAAAATAGAAAGTTCCAGCCAGGCTGGTGTGGTCCAATGGTTAAGCAACAACCCAAGAACCAGGAGGTTATGGTTTGATTCCCAGTCAGGGCACATGCCCAGGTTGTGGGCTCAATTCCCTGTGGGGCCGTGCAGGAGGCAGCCGATCAATGATTCTCTCTCATCATTGATGTTTCTATCTCTCTCTCCTGCTCCCTTCCTCTTCCTAAAATCAATAAAAAAAACATATTAAAAAATAAAATAAAACTAAGTGATTCCATCTCTTTGATTGATAACGTCCTTACCATTTTCTCCTCCCCTAAACCTGGGATCTCTCGGGCATTATAATACTTATCATATATGGGCCTCTCTCCCCTGCTAGACTGTGACCTCCTTGAGGTCAGAGATTACATCTTTTTAATTGGGGTCTTCAGCACCCAGCACATGATCCAGCACAGAATCTTGACGCTTGGAAAATGTTGGAGAGTAAATGAATGAGTGAAAGAATGAATGCTGCATCCTTCTGGGTTCAGCTCAAACCCATTTTTTCCAGTGACACGCCATCTTTCCCTCCCCCACATAGAAGTCAGATGACTCTGCAATGGGAATTCCATAATATTTCTAGGAAAAATATAGCTTTCCATTGGAAAATAGCTTAGGAGAGGCAATTCAGGTTGGAGGAGATGTGTGAGAGGTGTGTGTGGGGGGGGGAGAGGGGGGGAGGTAGGGGAGCTACTGGCTCCTTAGGAAGTTACCTTTGAGTAAAAGCACAGGCTTTCACCTGGATTGTACTTAGGGGAGTGGGATGGGAGGTGACAAGCTATATGCCACATATTTTGTCTTGGGATGGGAAAGCACAGAGTACTTTTCTGCAATCCATTTCATATATATTTAAATTTTTTGAGATGATTGTAGATTTACATGCAGTTGAAAGAAATAATACATCGACATTCCGTTTCCTTTCACCCAGTGCTGACAAGCTCACAGCCTGAACATTGACATTGATACAATCCGCCCACCTTATTCAGATTTCATCAGTTTTGTACGCATGCATTTGTGTATGCGGGTGCGCGCGCGTGTGTGTGTTGTGCACACTTTGTATTTCTGAAAGCGGCTTTCTTGCCTACTGGAGCTGGGCAGGGGTCCAGTCTGACCCACCCTTGCAGAGGAGTTGGCTCCCACAGGCACCAGCATGTGCTTGTAGCTATCTTTTGAACGTAGTAGGTTCCAACTACCGTCCACATAAACACTTGAACTTGTATGTCAGTGTGTGCAAGAGGGGAGCGCAACGTTTTAAGGTAGAAAACTGAGCCTGAAGCATTTGGTATTTGAGAGGCAAAAAGTTGGCGATTTTCCGCCACAATTGTGAATTAGCTATTTGGCTAATTGCTCCAAAGCGACCCTAATGCACATGCTTCCATCGCGGAAGAGCGGTTTTGAGGTTCACTCTTCACTCCCTCTGGAAAATTGGAGGGGGCTCACAGCGCCCGGGGAGCTCCGCCCACCCCTACCCACCCCCACCCCCACCCCCACCCCCCACTTTCACCCCTTTCTTCCCTGGGGCCGGACTGTTTCACCCCGTTTCCAGGCAACCGCCAGGCGCGAGGTGGGACGTCATTTCCTGAAAAGCCCGCGGGGAGAGGGCGGGGGGAGAGGAGGGGCCAGGGGGCGGGGCCAAGGCTGGGCAGGCGACGGCGACGGCGTCGGAACTCGCTGGAAGATCGGCCCCGGCGGCTCAACAGTTCCCAAAGTCCGGGCTCGCGGCCGCGCGGCTCCGTCTGTGCCCGGGCGGTGCAGGGGCGCGGGGGTCCCCGGGCGGCCGCATCCCGGGGCTGCCCCGGACATGCCCCGCTTCCCGTGCCGGACGCCCGCGCGGCTCCACCGGCTGCGGTTCGGGGGGCTCTGGGACTAGAGCACCTCCATCCCAACTTATGATTTTGGGGTCCCCCAGCCCGAGAGGAACGGGCGGCCTGGCTGGGGGAGCCCCGGGCCTGGTGTGACGGGGCGGTCAGCTTTGCCGCGCCCCCCACTCCAGCCATCTCTGTGCCCTGCAGAATGTAACTGCTCTCTCTGCGTCCCCCCGGACTCCAGCCGCAGTCTCCGCGACCTCCCGCTCCCGCCGCCAACCCGTGCCACCCGGGATCCCGTCGCCGCGCCTGCCTTGCCCGGACACCCGCCGCCGTCTCTGCACCCGCGGACTCCAGTTTCGCGACCCCCTCCGTCTTCGCGCGCCTGGGACTCTAAGCAGAGGTCTTCTCGATCCCCCCCCTAGGATTCAGACACTGCTCCCGCACCCCCAAGCCCGGACTCCAGTCGTCGTCCTCGGGGGGGGCCCCCCACCCCGCCCCCAAACCCAGACGCCAGCCGCGACCTCCGTGCTCCCCGGGATCCCGCTGTCGCCCCGGCGCCGGCGAGGGCAGCCGCTGCCCCACCACGCGCCCCGAGTCCGCCCGGCCCTCGGCGGGGAGATGAACGCGCAGCTGGACGGCCTGTCGGTGAGCTCGTCCTCCACCGGCTCGCTGGGCTCGGCGGCCCGGGCGGGCGGCGGGGGGCACGCGGGGCTCCGACTGCTGTCCGGGAACGTGCGCCAGCTGCACCAGGCGCTGACCGCGCTGCTGAGCGAGGCGGAGCGGGAGCAGTTCACGCACTGCCTGAACGCCTACCACGCGCGCCGCAACGTCTTCGACCTGGTGAGCACCCTGCGCGTGCTGCTGGACAGCCCGGTCAAGCGGCGCCTGCTGCCCATGCTGCGGCTGGTCATCCCGCGCTCCGACCAGCTGCTCTTCGACCAGTACACCGCCGAGGGCCTCTACCTGCCCGCCACCGCCCCCTACCGGCAACCCGCGTGGGGCGGCCCCGACGGCGCGGGGCCAGGGGAGGTGCGCCTGGTGAGCCTGAGGCGCGCCAAGGCCCATGAAGGCTTGGGCTTCAGCATCCGCGGGGGCTCGGAGCATGGCGTGGGCATCTACGTGTCGCTGGTGGAGCCAGGCTCCCTGGCTGAGAAGGAAGGACTGAAAGTCGGGGACCAGATTCTGCGAGTCAACGACAAATCCCTGTCCCGGGTGACCCACGCTGAGGCCGTCAAGGTAGGGTTCTGGTTTGGGGGATGAGTTCAGGGGCAGCTACTCTTAGTGGCAGTAGCTCCCTGCTGTGTGTCCTTAGGCAACTCGCTTGACCTTTCTGGGCTTCATTTTTCTTAAAAATAGTTCTTTAAAACAGGAACATCTAGTTTATTGAGCAAATACATGCCTGGCACTGGGATATAGTGATGAGCAAAGCCGATCTGGACCCTGCCTTCCCTTAGGCATAAAGGCTTATGAGTGGGAGACAGACCTTATCAAATATTTGGGTAAATGTATGATCACAAAGTGGAAAGAGTTGGGGATTCTTAGGAGCATTAAAAGATATGGTCTCCACTGGCATATAGTCAGTAATCAGTGGGTGTCATCTGCTTCTGCTGGTATTCTCATTATTATGTAGGCTTTTGCCCCCCAAAGAAAGTGTTGTTATAACGCCCCAAGTGGCCCCAGGAGGCTGTTCTGGGGATCTGAAGAGCTCTGGCCTCACCCTGCCCTTTGTGGACCAGGATGTGTATTCGGGGCCAAGTCATTTGTCCCCTCAGAGCCTCTAGTTCTCCACGTGGGAAAGGGGGCATCAGGACCAGATAAGAGTCCCTGACCTTGTTGGAAATGAGGCCCCTGCCTGAATGTCAAAGACATATCCCCCGCTCTCTTGAGAGTGATTGTACTTTTTGCTAATTGAGAAATATAACCTTAGGACCACAAGCTCCTACGGGTAGGGATTTAACCATGCCGTTTAAAGGAATGTGTGTGTGTTTGCTAACCTCCTTTCCAGGGCTTTTGAAAACCAGTTGGAGTAGGAGATGGATAGTGTTGGTCTTCTGTGAATTCAAGGATGCCTTGCAGTCATACACACACACACACACACACACACACACACACACACACACACAACTTTGTGTGCAAGAAGTGAAGAGTTTTGGAGAAAAGCAACAGTGACACTCTCTGCCTCTGCAAGGACAGTGCTTCCTAGGGGTTAGGGCGGGCCTGTGACCCAGCTTCTCACCACCCTGCCCCTCGCCCCTGCCTCTGGGCCTCCTCAGCGCAGGTGTTTTGAACTCCAGCCGAGGGCCTGCTGGCTGCTGGGAAACGCTTCAGCAGCAGAGGTTCAGGGAGGTTGCTTGTGTGCTGTTCAGTGACTGACTGTTCACCTGGGACATGACCATCTCATCGCTGATCTTGGCCTTCCCTTATTTGCTTCCCAATCCCTCTGCCCCCTCAGGGAGGCCCTGAGGATCTGGAAACTTATTTGCTGCGTCTGGCAAAAGGCTGATCAGTTTGTGTTTTGGGGTGTGTGGGTGCAGTAGACGAAGCTCCTTGTGGATTTCCACGCACCTATCCTCCCCTCAGTCGCCTCCCCCCACATTCATCTTTTCCCTTTAGCTGACATTCCATCTATTTATAAAGAAATAACCCATTAGCCTTTGGCCCTAAACGATCTGGAGCTCCCAGATGATAAATCGATACTTGAAAGATACTTGGCCCAGATGGGCATTTATAGGAGTGGATTCAGTTTTAGTGGCAATTAAAGAAAGACCCGCGTAACTTAATCATCCGGAGGTGATAGACTTCGGGAAGGCCTCAGGTAACCTGGACATTACAAACACAGACTCTCCCTGTAATTCTTCCCCAGGCTCGGCCATGCCTGTAAGGCTGAGCTGCTTGGCTGAGAGTTTCAGCCCGGCCCTCCTGCATTTCACCGATTACGCTCTGCACCGTCTGTCTGAGCCTCCCTGAGCTGTACACCAAGGTGCTGTTCCTCGGACTCACAGCAGCAGCAGGCCTTAGCTCGTGTACCTACTCTTCTTGCTTCCAGAGTGAAACCTAAACTCTCCACATAGTTTCTGAAGCCCCAGAACTAACTGTCGCCAGAGGGAGAGGTTGGTCGGAGCAGAACTGTCCTTGGGTGGGAGCCTGTGGGAGCTCCGTCCCTGTCACTTTTCCCGGGAGGCGCCCGCTAAGGCAGAACGAGCTCCTGTCTCAGGAGTGCCCCCCTTCCTGCCAGTGCAGACTCATCACCTGCCTGGAATGTACCCACTTGGACCCTCCAGAAGCAACAGGCAAAACGGGTGCTGCTTTGTGTCACCTTAACTCCAGGGAGAAAGGGGGACAGCCTTTCCGTGGGTGGAATTTAAACCAGAGGAGGCGGAACCTGTCTCGGGGCCTCCCGGAGCGCCTCCACCTGGGGTTGCAGGATGGGCAGGCAGTTTCAGGGACCGTTTAGAAGAATACCCGGAGCTGTTGACACATTTCCACAACATGAAGGGTATTCAGCCCCCTAACAGGAAGCCCAAAGAGGCCTGGCTTCCTAGGAGGTACAGACTGGCCTTAACCAGGATTTCCACTCCCAGCCCCTGTGTCAGCTGCTGCGCAGGAGGGCACCAGGTCAGAGTTTGTGGTGAAGGCACATTCCTACTCACCGGACTTCAGACTTCACTCAAATGTCACTGCATTTTCTGCTTATATCTTTTTTATGCTCCAAGACACCACATCACATTTAGCATATGATGTGTTTTCTTTTTTTTCTTCAATTTTATTTTATTTACTTATAGTCGTCGTCCTGTGTCCATGGGGGATTGGTTCTAGGATCTCCCACAGATATCGAAATCTGAGGATGCTCAAGTCCCTTAGTGGGTCTTTAAAGAAATATTTTTATTTGAGTATAGCTGGTATGCAATATTATATTAGTTATACTAGTTTCAGGTGTACAATATAGTGATTCGACAGTTTTATACCTTACAATGTGATCACCCCACCAATCCTAGTAATCATCTAGCAAACTTATTACAATATTATTGACTATAGTCCCCCTCACTTTTTTCATCCACTCTGCACCCCTTCCCTTCTGGTAACCTTTCTATGAGTCTGTTTTCTTTGAATTTCGTATCTGAGGACACGGAGGGCTGACTGCTTGTTTGTTTATTTCGCTTTTCCTTCAGCTTTATTGGGTATAACAGAAAAATAAAAACTGTACATATTTAAGGTGTACAATGTGATGATTTGATATACCTATACATTGTAAAGTGGTTACCATAATCAAGCTCATTTACATATCCATCACCTTACATAGTTATTTTGTTTTTGTGCTAAGAACACTTAGGATGTCCACTCTTAGCAGATTTCCAAGTATACAATAATAGAATTGTTAACTATTGGCATGAGCCTGTGCATTAGAACTTATTCACCTTATAACTGAAAGTTTGTACCTTTGTCCAACATCTCCCCATTTCCCCCACCCCCTGGCCCCCATCTCTCCTTCCATGAGTTTGACTTTTTTAGATTCCACATATACGTGAGGTCACACAGTATTTGTCTTTCTCTCTCTGGCTTATTTAACTTAGCCTCATGTCCTCCAGGTTCATCCATGTTGTCACCAATGACAGAGTGGCCTTCCTCTTTATGGCTGAATAATTATCTATCTATCTATCTATCTATCTATCTATCTATCTATCTATCTATGCCACAGTTACTTTCTCCATTCATCTGTCCATAGACAGGTTGTTCCCATGTTTTAGCGATTAAGGAGATGTGTTTTCCATCTTAAAGTCTTTGTTTTTCTTCTGCTGGTAGAAAGAGGCGGGGAAAGATCCTCTGAGCTTCCCAAAGCAGAGATGAATCGTGTATGTGTAATAAAAAGGAAATTGAATTTTAGGAGTCAGGTTGCTTAAGAGTTTATGAGTCAGAGAGGCTCACCTCCTCCCCGGGAGCAGAGGAGTCTGAACATTTGCAGGGTTTTCCACTTCTCTCTCTGACAAGTCAAGCCTCCATTGTCATCCCGTGTCCGGTGGGGCTCCCATCCGTCTCCTGAAGCCTGTTTGCTACATCAGCTGTGACAGGTGTAGATAAGGCAAGCCAGTTACTATTTGCAATTATGTTGAAACGTTTGGATTTTGAAAAATCTATCTCGAATGAACAGGAGCCAAGCTAATAACAATAAAAAAGGAGACCTTTCAAAGGTCTTCAGCCAAAAACCCTTGACAAATTGGCCAAGGAGTCCGCGGACCAGGGATGATGCATCGGACTCTGCAGCACACTTGCTGCGTGACCTTGGGCCAGTCACTGGCCCACTCTGTGTCCTAGGGTTGGGTGGGCCAGAGGCCAACCGAGGTCCCTGCCAGCTCAGACAGTCGGTGATTTGCTCCATAAGTGCTGCACACAAGGCATTTAGAATGTCCGTTGCGATGTTTTTGGGATTGCTTTCATTTAAGGCAGAGTAAAGAGAGTTGGCGAAGGATTGGAAGATGAGAATCTTGGCACTGTGTAGCCTCCTACTATATCAGGAAATTGATGGGTTACACACTGTACTGAGGAGAACTTGACTGCGGTCCCTGACCCAAGAGCACCAACCCTGATGCCATTCCAGATTAAAGGGAAAAATGATAATAGGATTATGCATGCAGCAGGATTAGCGCTCCGCCCTGGAGGCACTCAACATCAGATTCACTTACCCACTTGCTTTCTGAGTCCTTGATTCTGCAGGTAGCAGGGAGCGGAAAGCGGGGAGGGAGGAAACCCAGGTGCTGCTGGGATGGGTGTGCATCTGTGTGCGCTTCATCTGGATAAAAATTAAACGGCTTCATTACAGTCTCTGCGTCCCCTCCGGGAGCATCCAGGGAGCACATTAGAATTTGAAACGTTCCAGAAGTTCAAAACAGTGGCCGGCCCTTGCGCTTAATTAGAATTATCATCACACCCTCCCTTCTTTTGCACAGTAACCCGGGAAGAATCTGTCTGTATTAATATGTCATTGTGTGTGTGGCCCAGCATGTTCTAAATGACACATTTGTCATTTCCCCATTGCACACGGCTAGCTGAAGCTATTAGACATTATTAGCCACTTCCAACTTTGTGTCTGAAACGCGCTTCTCCCCTGGTGTCATTCCTGCATTCCGGCTGGGAAGCCGGGCTGATAGGCTCATGGGTATGCGAGGACTTTTCCTCCGGCTCCGCACTCTGTCTTGGGTCCTGTGGGTCCTGCCAGCAGTGACAGGTTGAAAGCTCCCTAT